TTTCCACAAGCCGATAAGAATTTCGTTCAGTAATGCCTCGTTTGTGAATACATTCGGCTGGCGTCCCGACTTGATGCATAAAACATTTATTATCAACCCTTACATCGTATATCGCTTAAAGCTATCCCTTATTTATTTATTTATTTATTTCTAATGATAACATTTTGTGTAGCTGTTAGATATCTGATATAGTCACGGAAACGAAAGATTCAATTATTTATCCATCCATCTAAACTTTCCCATTTATAACATTACTAGCTTTCGCCCACCACTCCGTCCGCGTGGAATTACAAAAAATAACAAAAGTGAGTAGCGTATGTGTTCTTCCAGACTATCATTTACATCTATCCTAAACTGCATCGAAATCTGTTCAGCCGTTTACGCTACAAACTCTAACAAACATCCATCCATCTAAACTTTCGCCTTTTTTAATATTAGTATGATTAAGATTAAAAAGAAAACATGTTAATTATTTACTTAAAAATAATATACCAGTGTCTTTACAAGTATGATTATCACAAAATTTGGCTTAAACAGAATTAAACTTAGCTTGCTAATTCTAACTTAATGTTAAGGCAAAATAACGCACTAAGTAAAGGGTTTATAGAAAAGAAAGAATTATGCTGACCGCTGCACAAAGCAATGAGGCTATGATTACCCAGGGCTGTGCGAGACGCTCCTTCATTAAGGAAACAATGAGAACGCTAGTCTATAGGGTTGCCAGTAATAATAAACAGATTTTACCAGCTTTGCCATTTAAAAATTGGTTAATTAGCTTTAGTTTTTAAACTACTATTTTATTAGAAAACATTGTTTCCCGCGACTTCGTCTGAAATTAACATTGTATTTTATAACATTTTTGGCTGTTTATACTAAAAAGAATCGTCCTGAGGTACATAACTGTGACTATAAATGTCTTCACACATGTATTAGACCACTACTACTCTGTCAGTATTTATCAAGAATAAGAAGCAACTTTTACGGGAAATTAAAAGAATTGTTGCTAATGTTGCCAGCCCTCTAGGGTGCCTACCGTTACCGAATAATTAAAAAGCACCAAGCAAGCGTTGATTAAGCATTCCATGATGTTAATTGCTCTATTAAAATGCTTTACAATTACACCTAAAAAACTGCTGAATTTAAGGCGAAAACAAGAGGTGGCCATTTTAACTGCCAATAAAGATAAAATGAATATTCACTTCATTACGAGCGATTCGTTCTAAAAGGTTATAATTTAGACGTAGTATGTACTTTCAATTACTTTTCATGTAATTGATTTTAGAAAGTTCAACTGATACAATTAGGCGGGCTAACTTGGAATCTATGTCGATATGCTAGGATAAATAATTCAAACTGGCAACTCCGCCGCATCGCTATAATATTCATCTAACCCTGTAACGCTACGGGAAATTTCACAGTAATTTCCTTGGTACAAAAGGCCGCTTTCAAGGGATAACTTGTTTGACATAGTTCTATTCACTACGTATATTTGAAAAGTATTGTTAACAATAAAAGGACTATTTTAAAAGACGTAAATAAGCTAAGACTGTATAAGTAACTATTACGAACTAACTATAGATATGAACAGGGTTACAATAATGCCCTTCTCGTTTGCCCTTTCTTTTATAAAAAAAAATAATTAACTGTGATATGTCAAAATAATGTTAATTAGCAATTACATTAGCTAAAAATAAAAAAAAGGTAAAAATATAGCCCTTGTTAATAAGTGATAACATAGCTTTTTAACGGTGCAAGAATTTTGAAATCGGTTCAGTTGTTTTTGAGTTAATTCTATACATACAAAAATCCAAAAAGACAAATTTTTCTTCGTTATAATATTTGTCATGTCATGTCATTTTGACATTTGCTATTGATAATTTGACAAACAATAAAATAAAATTTCTTATAATTCCTATGCGGACGAAGTCGTACGGGAACAGCTAGTAGGAAATAAAACACAAACAAAATCAACGTTTTCGTTGCCAGTTAATAAGTTATTCCCGTACAAGTTAACTCTATAGAGAAATGTTTAATTAAAGCTGAGCGCCCGTCCCGGAATTTAATCAACAACTTCACAGTCGCATTCTTGTACCAATCTGTACCTATAATGTAGGATATAATTATTTTTCTTTACAAATATAGAAACAGAAAAGATATCCAATATACTGCGATTATCTCTATAAAATTAAATTATCAAAACCTATGCAATAATCAGATTAAAATCATATAATTCGAGTTGCATTGCTCATCTTCTCGTAAAAAAGAGGTCAAAAGCCTACCACAGTATTGTATAATCTATGGTCAAATAAAATAAAGGAATTTATTTATTTGTTAACATTGTACAATTTCATGAACTCCACAATCCTATTATAAAAATACTCTGACAAAATATAAATCCAAATGAAATATTCTTTCAACTAAATCTTTTCAGAAAAGTATGAACGTTATGGAGACACGATTTCAAATTTAAAACGTGAAATGCTAAGGATGTTTTCTAAGAAACATGTCTCCGCATATAAGAAAAGACGAGGAATAAATTACTCAGCAGTTTAATCCAAAACATTCAAGCTTGATCTCATAGATTAACTGATTAAAAGTTTGTGTGTGTTTATCTCAAGAAGTGCTAATCGGATTTGAATAAATCTTCCTACAAATCAAAGCACAGATAATAAAGATGGTTATAGGCCATTTAGACAAACGCAACGATTGATAGAGATTCGATGAGAGACATAAATCTAAAATACATGCGTATTTATTTCAATTCTTTTTTACTTTAGGTGACTACATAATATATACATATCAGAATAGTTAAACGCTTTTGTTTTCATGATGAATGATTTTTACGAAATAAAAACACTTTCATTGTAGAGTACTCGTAAAATAAACTATAACCCGAGTGTGGCAGTGGGGCAGGAGGGATACAAGAGCCCTCCTCGTCCCGACAAAAGGCTTTCACTGCGTGCACAAGTGCACATTTTTCTTCAATTCCTTCACGAATGCTTTGTTTTAATGCAACCTTACGAATTTAAAAAAATAATTTCTGCGACTCGTTTTAATTTTAACGCCATTTTGTCTGATTCCAACATAGACCCTTTTTTCCATAAAATGGTTAAAAACGGAATTGTTGCTAAACTTCACGGTGGGTTTTTTTAATACAGAGCTCCAGAGTAATTGATTGAGATTTAACTGTAAAGTAACTAATAATGTTAATATTTAACTATTAAGGACCGTTTCTACTGTCGACAAATCCCTGAATAAACAAGAGGTGATTTATTTTTATTTAAATGTTTTATCAGAGAAAATCCACGGTGTAACTAAAATCGTTATTTCATTAACAGCGTTATAAAGTTTATTTCTAACTAGACAGAAGTTTTCACGTTGATTTGCGGTGTTGTTTCGCTATTGGCGGTCTCCTCTGTCAAATGTCAGTCAAAATAACCTAATTCCGGATTTACACTTGGCCAGTACAATAGCGCAGGTCAGGAATGGCTTGTATGGACTCACTGGCACAAATTAGTGTTTAGATTACGCTAGTTATTGGGGGCTACTCTCCAATTATAAAAGCCAACTGTGAACCAGGCATAACCATGGGTTTCTATTTATGCAATTTAAAAAATTGCTGGGGTTTTATTACAAGCTGAGTTGTTTAGAGTTACCTATCAGCAGAACCCAAAAACTTACTACACTCTTGCCATTACCATAACCGCTTAATTTTTTCTTCTGGCAGAAATAATAATGGCTGCCAATATTCCGTTAACCATAGACATTCAATAGACATTTTTGGTAAAAAAAAAATATAATAAAAAGTTAACTGCAGTTTTACTGTAACGCGTAAAGTTACATAAGTTTCGTATACGCAATATTTATTAACACTAACCTACTTTTTCGTTTCCGAATTGACCGTATAAATAAGGAAGTGGAGAGCTTTTAACGCGGGCCGGTACTTCGGGTCACGAAAAACTGACGGCCAGTTCCATTTAAATGCTAATGCACTCAAATGGAAGAAAGTTGCTTGTAAATAAATATTACGTTCACAAATTGCAGAGATTTTTTATCTATGAAACATTATTTATGACAAAGAAAAACAACATTTAAGGTAAAATTGTTTCAATGAATACAAAATGTAGAGAGGAAAAATAAATTTTTATTCTGATATAAAGTAAATAGTTAATCTATGGTACATCCACCTACACAATTTCCTTTTATTTTTATAATGTAACAGAATTAGACTTCAGTGTGAAAAGTTATTCATAAAAAATTGTTGTTTACATTTTAAAACTAGTCTTATCTATAGGTTATGTTGTCTTCTTAGTCAATGTTTAGTCAATAATCTGTTTCAAATAATCATTTAGTAATTGCATTAATAGTACCCTAAGGGTTAGAGGAAAAGAGACGACTGAAGAAAGGACGCCTCTGGCCTCTGCATTTGCGCAGATGCTAAAAATTAACCAAGACGTCCCGCACAGCTGATAGGTATTGTTGTTTTAAATTGTCGCTAAAGCTACAAATAATTAGCACAGCTTGAATAAATAAACAAAAGAAATTTCATAATTATTATAAAGTTATCGTTATAGATTTTACATTAATTATATTTTAATTTTAGACAATAATTTTATTGTCTGTATTTCTGAACATAAAGTATATTTTTACATTATTTATATAATTATTTTTAAAAATCTAACTTAAAACGTGTTAATTGAACTGAGTTGTTTATTTTTAATATAGATACTGGAATAAAACTTTATTAATTCTACATTTTTAACATAATCGATAGCTAATTACTTAAATTAATTTTCTTCAACGGTAGAAAACTTAAGAAATTAAATACACTTCCCATATTTCAACAATATGCAAACAATTTGTATATCTGTATTGCAGTATTTTTATATACTCTTTTATTGCGGGAAGATCAGAAACTTAATATAAAGAAAATCGATAGCAACTTTTTTTTACCTTCCACTCATTCTGTTAAACAGTTTATATAATGTTAGACTTTGTTGACTTATGTTATCAGGCCCGACACTCGCGCCCTCTACAGCGACGTCTTACCACGCCCACACGTACGGAGACTGCATGGACCACTCACACATCTTAAACCTTAATGACTGCTCAGATAATTTAAAATATCCTTACTGTTAATATCACTTACCACGCGTCAGCGTAGTCCCAATTTGGGCGCCATTTATCGCGAGGTAAAAGCGCGATTTGCAAGGGTGGCACAGCCCTACGTTTGCGGTAGCGTTCGGCGCGCGACTGACGCAAAAATACGCGTGCGTGACAGTTTCTGACGCCTGCGCGGGTAGTTGCGATTTGTTTTGCACGGAGCCTTATCGCACCCTTAGTGAACGAAATGAGATTAAGCTCGAGTATGGATGCGACACTCGCTGCGGGGCATTACAATGAACGTCGGGATCTCGAAACATTTCTGTCGTTTATTGGCTTAGCCCGTCGAATTGTCGTAAACCGCGGCTTTATATGAACTAGACACGAATGTAATCTGATAAAGAAATTCGTTATATGTTTACAATTTGTTTCTTTGACAAATTAAAATCGTTTTATTATTTTGTTCTTTAACAACAATCAAGAATGATCCGAGAAAGTAATTTTATATTTGTCCTTAATTTGCAAGCTTACGGACTCTTATGAACAATATTCAAGTTTATGAACAATTATTTATTTTGTTAATACTAGTAACAAAATTAATATGTGTCATACATAATATGGAAGTTTATATCCCAACTTCCACAATTCAACCTAGACGATTAATTGTATCTTTCTAATTCCTACTGATCGTTCATTTGGATGAAGGTTCTCAGCCAACTAGTTGACCAAGTACTCTATCAACTACTTTACTAAATGATCTGCCGACTACGCGATCTACTACTCGACGAAGTCTACGACCGACTTGTAATTTTTTTTTATTTAAGTAAAGTTTTTAAGTATTGATTTTACGGAACTTATTTAAAAAAAGTGGAGATAAAGTATTTTGAAAGATATCTATTATCTGTATTTCAAAACGTACTGGCAATAAACAACCCATGTGTCATCACTTTTTTAAATATTGCAACATTGTTCCATCTTTTTCGAGAATCAGAAAAGTGTGACGAGCGAATTTTTGTGAATTTTGTGTGAAATAAACCAAAATATGTCTACACTCGCCGCACCTTTGTCCGTTGCAGGGACTAGATTCTCCGGAGCACCAGTCAGAACTCAAAATGGTAAGTTTGATCGCTGTAAAACTCACATGAGGTAGAACCCGGTAGATCACATGCACTGCCTCATATGGTTCTAAAAGTAGAAATAATTTCTAAAAATAAGAGAATTTAACTATTCTTTTAATGTTAAATGTTACATCATATCAGAAATAATCATTCTGTAACTTAATTTTTTACTGGTATTTAAGTATATTTTATAAACAATATAAATAACCTTTTTGTTCAATTTTCACGACATTTATTTAAAATTATGTACATTTAAGTACGCCTGAATACAACTAAAGGCTAACAAGCTTTGATTTTAATGGTATTTTAGTCTTTGCCTTTCAGATGTAATTTAAAAAACGCATTATAAATGTAAATTCTCTTGGAGTATTCTAAAACAATACCATCCTTGTCCAAAGGAATTTCAATCAATGGTTGTTGATGTTTTCCTTTCTTCCAGTGATGGCAGCTGCTGCTATAGCTAACATAGTGAAGAGCTCACTAGGTCCGGTGGGTTTAGACAAGATGTTGGTTGATGACATTGGAGATGTTACTGTCACTAATGATGGAGCCACTATTCTAAAGTGAGTAAGATAACATGTTTTAGGCATCCTTATGAGTTTCCACAGCTGAAAGTATACTGTAATTAATGATTATTAACATTTTTAATTTTAACAAACTTGTAACATTTTCCTGCAAAAATTCTTTACTCAAACTGACTCTACTGTGATTTTAGTAATTACTATACGCACTTACATCACTATCATTATTTATGTTCACAAAATTTCCAGAATGCTAGAGGTTGAGCATCCAGCAGCAAAAGTGCTGGTAGAGCTGGCTCATCTTCAGGATGAGGAGGTTGGAGATGGCACCACTACTGTAGTCATAATTGCAGCTGAGCTGCTCAAGGTATGCTCAGTATCTATACTTATGTGTCTTATGTGTCTACCCAACACTAAATTCACTTCTTCTTTCATTGTAAAAAAAGGGAAGGAAGAGTAAAAGAGGACTAAAATTGGGCCTTTAGCTTGCAAACACAGACATAATGTGGAATTATTTATATTTGTCACATATCTTCTGTGTGGTTTGACACTGGGTGAACATTAATTATTCATGCAAAAGGTGTTATTTCAGACTAACAATGTTAAATTAAATGCCAAAGTAATTTGTACAAAGGTAAAGGAATAGAAACAGAAATAATTTATTGAAAGACAAAAGATTATGAGAAAAGATATGTTTTAGATGGGTGTGTATCGATGTAACAGCTGATTTATCAATAGATAATTTGCCAATCTCAGTAGGAAAAGGATAAAAAAAAAAGAATGTAAAAAACTATCCTTCTACCCTTTAGAGTTGACAGTCTTATTGTTTTATTTCAGAGTGCAGATGAATTAGTAAAGAACAAGATCCACCCAACCAGTGTGATCTCCGGGTACAGGCTGGCGTGCAAGGAGGCTGTTAAGTACATCCAAGACAACCTAACTGTCAGTGTGGAGACACTTGGTCGCTCTTCCATTGTCAATGTCGCTAAGACTACAATGTCTTCCAAGCTTATTGGAGCGTATCCTTTTAAAATTATTTCATTCTATGTTAATTTATGTTGTATATCAATGCTCCTCAACTTTAGCTTTACAGAAACCAAGTATGTTCTTCAAAAGAATATTATTTTGTAATGGAAGAGTAAATGTAAACAGCTTTTTTTATAGAATTAACATAAAAGTTATTCTTGACCAAGAAAATTTGGTATATATGAATGTAAAATAAACAGGAGTACAACTGTGTCAAGACTTGTAGTTATGCCAGGCTAATTTCATCATGAGCATAATTTAACTGTCATAGAATTAGGTTTAAGTGACAAGTGAAACTAACCACTATTTTACTTGGAACAACTAGGAATATATCTCATATTACTTTTTATTTTAACTTAAGTGGGATTCAAGCACACATGCATGACATAAACTTGTTATTTCATATTTTGTTGTCTAAGAATTTTCTTAACATTTCAAATAGTGATGCAGATTTCTTCTCGGAGATGGTTGTTGATGCAGCACAGGCTATCAAAACAACAGATGCTAAAGGCAATGCTATCTATCCGATCAAGGCTGTCAATATCTTAAAAGCACATGGCCGAAGTGCCCGGGAGAGTGTGCTGGTGAAAGGTTATGCCCTCAACTGTACAGTAGCATCACAAGCTATGCCTAAAAAGATTCTTAACGCAAAGATAGCTTGTCTCGATTTCTCATTACAGAAGACTAAAATGAAACTTGGAGTTCAAGTAAGTTTAAACTAAAGATCTCTGTTTTATTATTTTTACTTGATTGAGAATTTTAAATTGAACAGTTGTGGTCTAGGTAATTTTGCAAACACATGAAAGCAGTAAGAAATTAGTTCAGTTTTGTAGTTTACAATGCACAAAATTCATATTTGAACATGTAAAGTTCTTATAAAAGTACTAATATTTTAAATGTAAAAGTTTAGATGGATGGATGGATGTTTGTTAGAGTTTGTAGCCTAAACAGCTGAACATATTTCGATGAAATTTGGTATAGATGTAGAGTTTAGTCTGGAAGAATACATAAGCTACTTACTTTTGTTTTTTTTTTTATTCTACGCGGACGGAGTCGCGGGCGAAAGCTAGTCAAGAAACATTAGACAGAGAGTGTTTAAAAATAATTTTATTTCTCAGGTATTAGTGACAGACCCTGAGAAACTAGACGCGATCCGCGCTCGTGAGTTAGATATAACAAAGGAGCGGTTAAACAAGATATTGAGTACGGGTGTGAACGTGATCCTCTGCACCGGAGGTATTGACGACCTCTGCCTCAAGTACTTCGTGGAAGCCGGTGCTATGGGAGTGAGGCGCTGCAAGAAGTCTGACTTGAAGAGAATCGCGAAAGCCACAGGCGCTGCATATCTTACTTCCTTAACTAATATGGAAGGTAAGATAATTTGGATTCCTTACTAATATCATAAATGAGAAAGTAGAGATGGTAGAAGTTATCTCTAGAACTGCTCCAATAATCTCAATTAAATTTAGCACATATATATAATAGTCTGGAACATGTAGTCTGTTTATTAAGTTTTTTTATTAGTAACAAATACCCTGAAACATTTCAATTTTCCAAATGAAAATGTTACTGCCATGTTATGTTAATATATTTTTAATTGATGTCATTATTTTATTACATGGTTAAAGTTGTTTTATTTCTGCTTATTGAAATAATAGAATATAATTTTCTGGTTGTGTTTTTTTCCAGGTGAAGAAGTATTTGAGCCGAGCATGATTGGTGAAGCAGCAGAAGTTGTCCAGGAAGAAATCTGTGATGATCAACTTATTCTTATTAAGGGGTAAGTTGAAAATATTATTATAATCCATCATGGCTATATTGTTGTTAAAAGATTTATTTTGCATTTTTTCATCCTTCAAAGAGGCAGCTACCTTTTTGCCCTCTAGACAACGTCTTTGTATCGAAAGTGGCAGCTCATAGCTTAAGCATGGTTCACACTTGGCCAGTACAGTTGGTCAGTAGCACTTCATAACTGGACTGTGAATTGACTCGGTGTAAACAGTCCATCGTAAATGTTCAATACGGAATATTTATTATATAGTACATAGTAACTAGTTAATGTAGTAACTAGCTGTTGCTCGTGACTTCGCCCGCGTGGAATAAAAAATATGGCCTATGTTACTAACAGATAAATTACCTATCTAATGGTGATAGAATTTTTAAAATCGGTCCAGTAGTTTTAACGTGTATCGAATACATACAAAAATACAGAAATAAAAATCTTTTGTCTTTAAAATATTAGTACATATAGATAGTATACAAATATAAATTGTCTCTATTTGGCGTCATGTGTCGCCTATTGTACTGGGCCAGTGTTAACCGCATTAACCATGTGCCATTCCAGTCCAGCAGGTCGTACGGCAGCGTCGATCATCCTACGCGGCCCCACAGACGCGTACTGCGACGAGATGGAGCGCTCCGCACACGACGCGCTGTGCGCGGTGCGCCGCGTGCTGGAGTCGGGCCGCGTGCTGGCCGGCGGCGGCGCTGTGGACGCAGCACTCTCTATATATCTTGATAACTTCGCTACAACACTGGTAAGTTCCAACCTTAATAGCTTCAGAAACACTCAATAATCAACAGATTATCTTGCCAAAATATCGTGCCTTAGGACATAACAGGATGACCATGTTTCGCTTCTGAATTTAAATATTATGAATGTGCTGTCTCTGCAATTGATTTTAGTTAGTGTTTCCCTGAGCACTGTAATCAGTCGAACCCATAAGTTTTTTCCCCATTGAGTCAATTATTTGGCTTCAATCAGACCAAAAGGAAAAAATCCCATAGAGCCAGACTGGCGCGAGAATCGCCCAATAAAATGAGATGAGAAGTGAATAGTAAAATAGACTAGAATAAAATGTGTGACAAAGTGGGATAAAAATTCTCAAACATGACTACAACGACAATTTAAAGGACTAACAATGGCTACATCTAAAATCGTAATTCATACTAATATTATAAATCCGAAAGTTAGATGGATGAACAACTGAATGTTAGTTAGAATTTTTTGCCTCGACTGCTGAACAGATATGAAATTTGGCATAAACATAGAGGACAATCTGGAAGAACTTTTTTTTTAATTTCACGCGGACAAAAGCTAGTATAAAATAGTTATTTCTATAACTGTGTATTGCAGAGTTCCCGCGAGCAGCTGGCGATCGCGTCGTTTGCGCAGTCCCTGCTGGTGATCCCGAAGACGCTGGCGGTGAACGCGGCGCGCGACGCCACTGACCTCGTCGCCAAGCTCAGGGCGTACCACAACTCATCGCAGACTAAGGTAACACTAGCAGTTTCACACGGATTCACACAGATATTTATATTTGGTAGGATAATGTAGCTAGTGCTTTTCCACAAACCCACCTGATATTAAGCTATGTAGTCGAAGTATGATAAAGTATTCTATCATTTTATTGTTTTTCTACGTTTAAAAGTAATTTACATGTATATCTATCTATAACTTAGGGTTGACAACAGTCATAAAAATTAATGTAAAATATTTAAGTTATAAATCTTTTGCCCGATGTGATTGAGTATTGAGATAGTCAAGATTATAGCATTCTAATGCTGAAAAAGATTTTGTACTCCGTTCAATGTTTATGTAGGTAAAAAAATAGATTCCCTCTGTATTAACCTTGTCAATTCATTATCTCTTTCAACTATAAGACAGTGTATAAATATATTTATGGAATCACATGTTTAAAAACTTTAAAATTTGTACAGGTGGAACACGCAAACTTGAAATATGTAGGTCTGGACCTAACAGAGGGAACACTCCGTGATAACTTAGCTGCCGGAGTGATAGAGCCAGCGATATCTAAGATCAAATCTCTTAAATTTGCAACTGAAGCGGCCATTACTATCTTACGTATTGATGACCTCATTAAACTGGACCCTGAACAGAAGGGTAAGAGTTATGAAGACGCTTGTAACGCCGGGGAATTGGATTAATGGTCTAAATTCTGTTTGTTCGGAGTGAACTGTTTCATTTAGTGCTTAATGCTTTTCTTACAGTGAGTTTTAGTTCTTTTATATTCTTAACGTCACAAGTTTCATATATTTTTGTACAAAAAATGTATTTGATGTAAAGTTCCATAGTCTATGTATTTTATGGTTCGTGACATTTGTCTATGGTTTTAAGAGACGATTGTACTGAAGTTATTGTAGTAAATTGTGTCTTAATGTGAGTTTTCTGGTAAACTGGTTTTTTCCTTACTTTTCTAGCTGTTATGTATGTCAAATATATGTTTGTATTGTGAATTTCTTTGAAAATGTAAAACTACTTTGAAGTTATATTTCTTAAAAATAAGGAATATCATATATTTACTTTATAGTTGTAAACTGTCAAACATGCTAACAAACAAACATACTAACTATAATATTATATTACATGTTAAGAAATATAACCTTAAAGTAATCTGTTCTCAAAGCCTGACGATATAAAATAGCTTGTCACTTGTGCCTTGATATGAACCAAACTCTTATTTTGTATATTTTAATTATGTATGGCAAATATTGGGATATCTAATTCTTACTCATGATGGTCCAGTGTGTTATTAACGCAGTTAATTATTTGACCAACATAAACAAAGAAGAAATATTCAATTCGATTGCTTTCTTATGTATAGCCGAGGAATCCAGCGGTGTTTCTCTTCGGGAAGAATTGCCTTATTGCAATAAGACAAATTCCTCTTCTACCTACAAATAACAAATTTGATAGTTGGTGAATGTTAATGCAATCGAAGGGATAAAAATTAAAATATTCTACCCATGTATTAATAAACAAAACATACAGATACATATATAAGCTGTATTTTATTGGTTTTTGTTCCACATCTCATTTCAAAATGTTCATTCGATTCTAGCTTTTAAAGTGGAACGCCGCCAGATACCCTACTGTACATCGGTTACTCTGAGATTCATGATGCGATTTGCGTGATTTAGTTTTTTGATACAGAATAGTTACTATTTGGTCCCATTTTTTCATCACAATTATTACCCATACATATCTTGATCGACCTTCATTTAATTATCCATTATAACTAATTTCAGGAAATGATAGAGAGGATTACTAACCAGCTGAAAATATGGAAAATACCAATTAGGAATTCAATTTGTTTGAATAAACTTAGGATTAGGAATAAAAAAACACCCATTGATTACACATGAATTTGTTTAAAATTCGCGCTCTAATTCTAATGTAATTTTATCGTCGATTTCTGTAATGAGAGATCGATAAAAAACAAAACAGTTCGGGCTATGAGAACAATGCCAGTATTTTATTTAATAAAAGTTTTACTTTCATAACCAAACTTTGTTATAAATGCAAATTGTTAAGGAGTAAAATTCCACTTGATAAGTTATAAATTATTGTAACGTTTCGGTTTCTTTGCTTTTAACATTAAATACTAGGTTGTAACTCGCTAGGACGCTGTGCCGTCGATACTGATAATAAAATAAATTTTAATACTACACTTTGTTTCCTTTTTATCCTATAATTATAACTTAGTACTAGTAATGAATTCCATCATCCAGTGCTTACGGTAGTAAAAAGCAGTATGACAACAGGCTTGGCGAATATTTATTTTAAAGCAAAATTATGTCACCAATGTGACCATTTTATTGTACATACTCTGGATATACTATACTTTCTACCGACAATAGTAGATTTACAACCGCAATATAAAGTAATTTAATGAAATAGTAAGAAAGAAGAAATTAAGTAAAAAGCTTTTATTTTTATTTATATTATATAAAAATTATCTTTCGGATTGAGACAAACGATAGTTTTGCAAAATAGATTTTAATCTATAGTTATTAAACATCTATTCTAGAAAATGGAAACTTAACATTTTGATTTAAAATAAAAAAAAAGAGAAACGGTCTGTATGGTCAGTAAGTACACCATAACCATAACTATTAATTCGATTAATAATTTCACAATGAAAATTTCGATTACCCCTATTCCCGAACTGACCAAACCCTTCCGTTTTGCATTTAACAAAAAACACATTTCACTTAAGTAATGTGATAATTACAGTCAAAAGCGATAATGTTTCAACAATAATAACATTGAGTGTTATTGTACTCTACTAATCTACATTTCCGGGCAGAAGTTTCAATTATTAGCTGATAACAAATGTCAAAATAAAGTTTCTTATCATATGTTATGAATGCACTGTAGAGCACCCAGTCTCGAGTAAAAATAAATAAGATGCTCTTAACTTTAAGTAGCAGAACACATTACTTTACAAAAATTAGACCTGTAAAATTCCATAATGCTTTCTTATCCACTGCTGTTCCTAAGGTATGTAAATATTAATAATCTTCCAGGTACGTAATCTATTTAATGTTGATTGTATAACTGCATTAATGTAATAATTTATATATAGTTTTGCTATCGTGGTTAACAAAAATAATAGATGTATTTTCCACTTTTCTATTTGTATTTAAACAGGATTAAGGAGTACCACTTTTATTTTCCTTTGCCGCCAGTGTTCGCAATATTAAAAATTCGCAACTGCAAACTTCTAATATACTCTGATTTTGCTTGAGATTATTAGAATAAATTCTTATTTTCAGGAAGAAAAAGTTAAAGTAGGCAACTATAATATAAATTATGTTCGAGTGGGGAATGGTCCACATCATGTATTTTGTATGCCGGGCGCACTGGGAACAATATGGACTGATTTCAAACCTCAAATAGAAGGATTGAATAGAGAAAAATTTACGATATTAGCATGGGACCCTGTGGGTTACGGCAAAAGTAGACCTCCAGAAAAGGAATTTACTCCTGATTTTTATGAAAAAGATGCAGATGTTGCCGCTGAGCTTCTTAAGGTTCGATTATAATCATTCAATTCAATTAGTATTTTAAGCCAGATGTAAAACCTTTTTTTTTGTTGATAGCAACTGAATATACCAAAGTCTTCGATATTAGGATGGAGTGATGGTGGAATAAGTGGCATGATTTTAGCTGCAAAATACCCAAGTGTGGTGAATAAACTTGTGATATGGGGAAGCAATTCATTTATGTTGCCAAATGAGGTTGAAGCATTAAAAAGTAAGTTTTATAGCGCAGTTTATTGTCCCTAATGGAAATTGTATTTTCAACATTTCAAACATTTTTCTGAATTTAAAATTTCTCACCAGAGATTAGAGATGTTAAAACATGGTCAGCTAAGATGCGTGAACCGATGATAGAAGCCTATGGAGAGGAGAAGTTTGCAGAGTACTGGGCAAGATGGGTAGATGGTATGGTGGCCATAGGTCAAACTCAAGATGGAAACATTTGCAATGAGATCATAAAAGACATTAGCTGTCCCACATTTATATTGCACGGGGGAAAGGATCCTCTAGTTGACAATGTACATGTATCATATCTTCATACGCGTATAGAAGGATCTAGGTAAATATTTATAAATAACTGATTTGTCTGTTCTTTTAAAAACTTTGAAGGATTGTTGATAAAATTCAATGTTTTTTGCTTTCATTGTAGTATTTCATTGTACCGTGACTTCACATAATGGCTTTGTTGCCAACATGAAAAGTGTGAGAAACATTAATTTAAGTTTTTACTGTTTCAGAATCCATTTATATCCAGACGGAAAGCATAATATTCACATTCGTTATGCTGAAGATTTTAATAAGAAGATTCAAGAATTTTTACTATTACCAAATTGACCTTGCATAACTTTTTATTTATTGTAATTTAAAAAGGTGAGGTGATAACTTTAATTCAAAAATTAAAAAACTTATCCATAGTTTTACTATCTTTGTACAACGAAAAAAAAAACAAAAAGGTTACATATTTTGTAGGGTTAAACAAAAAAATCAACAAAATTCCCATGTTTTATTTCTCATTTACTTCTTATAAGCATGTTTCATTTTTAGAATAAAACAATTTACATTTGATAACACATAATTTAAGTGAAGTGACTCGTTTATACTGTACAAGCTACAACTCGTCTGAGGATACACAAACTTGCCTCTATCACGGTGCTCGGCTGTTTTGTTCGATTTAAAATACCTACTAATCACACTACATATAAACAATTTAGGTTAGTTTAAAACAATATTCCAACATATTCAACTAGAAGATCTATTGCAATTTCATTGGTACGCTTTTAAAACCACCAATACAATTCAACACAAGAGTACATTCCGAGTTAATAAATAGCTATTGCACTCTACAAGTTCAATCCGATCAAATCTGAATATTAATAGTTTCATAGAAATTGTTAAGGCACACATATCTGACATTCTCCATATGGAAGCACTTTGAAATCACATCACATACAGCAATTCCAAAAATACAACTGTTAATGACTTTCATAAGTTACGTTTTACAATTATATAAACAAACACACAAGCGACCTAACACGATAAATACATAAGAAAATATAGTGACCAATTCACTAATTTGCATGATTGTTCTTATATCATAAATAATTTCTCTAGTTACAAAAATAGTATACAGTGAACGGAACGCGAGACGCGCTCTAAAAGCACCATAGTGACCCAGGCTGTCCGACTGTCCATCTGTTATATTACATTAAAATAAGATTACACTTACAATTACATAACGATACAATATTACAACATTATCACCGGGATTATTAACAATACGGCTTTAAGATTAAAAAAATTAAATACGTTACATTCGTTATGTTTACAAAAAAAAATTCCTAGTGTAATATAGAGAGTCAAAGGCACACACTTTGTAAAAAAAATCCTACAAGTTAGTCTCAGTGTCTCTGTTTGCACTGCGGCTCGGCTCACACATACACGGGGCCCTGGTTGTCATCGTCCAGGTTGATTTTGTTCGTGTAGCCATCATCGAAGAACCTTCGGAAGGTGAACTCAAAGAAGCCATGGAAGGTCTTGCCGTTATCTAGAAGCTCGCTGTCAGACTTGTTTGAGTCGGAACTGCCAGAATTCCGAAGCTTGTCGGGGTCTATTGGGTCAAAGTTTGATGTGTCAGTGGGGTACTCGATTCTGGGGATGTAAGGTGCGACTTGCTTCCTCAAACCCTTCTCGAAGTCGATGCTTTTGAGGAATGGGTGGTGCTTCACCTCGTTGGCGTCTTTCCCGAGTCTCGTGTCCTGACCGGAGCACAATTGCAGGATGAGATCTTTACTCTCCCGCGACAAGTTAGCCGCGTCCGGTATGTGCAGTGTGCTTTCCCAATTTATCACCTGGAAATTCACAATAATATATTTTAACAAATTTATTAAAATTATCTGTTAAATAAATGATATTTTTGAAGACTTAATATCTTCTTGAAAGTTTAAAACTCACCTTTAACTGCGTCTCAGCGGGTGTAGACGCGAGGAAAGGTGGAGATCCGACAAGCATTTCGTAGAGTATGACACCGACTGACCACCAGTCGCAGAGCTGCGTGTACCCAGTGCGCTGGAGCACCTCAGGGGCTATGTAGTTTGGTGTACCGACCAGCGAGTGAGCGAGACAGCGCTGGTGCTCGCGCTTGCGCCGCCTTTCTAAAGGCTTCAGCTGATGACAACGACATTCCCCCATTGCTCCCCACTCACCATCCACTGGATCCATCGAATCCTGCCGACCGTGATCTGTCAAGTACAAGAAATTGTTGATTTTAAAACCTTACTAATTATTCAATAACATCATCAAATTTAAAATCAGAGTAACTTACCATTTCTTTGATAGTATTTAGAATTATGCGTCCATCTGAATCCCGTGCACAGACCGAAGTCAGTCAACTTTATGTGACCATCTCGGTCTATTAAAATATTATCGGGTTTAATGTCCCTGTGGATGAAGCCCATTTTATGAACACTCTCCACTGCACAGGTCAACTCGGCGATGTAAAACCTCGCCAAATTCTCTTCGAATATCCCCAACTTTATCAACAAGGACATTAGATCACCCCCAGGGATGTAGTCCATGACGAAGTATAGATTGTCCTTGTCCTGAAAACTGTAGTACAACTTGACGACCCACTCGTTATCCGCCT